CTTCCTAGAACTGTTTCCCAGCTGACATGGATACAAGATCCTGAAAGAAAGAAAGAATCCTCAAGAAAACCAAACCCACTCCTGGAAAACTCTTACTTAAGATGCCAGTTTTACAACAATGGTCAGGGCATTTCATGTTCTTCCTGAACATGAGAGTTTAATTCACAAAACAATGGAAAACCAGGAAGTGCTGAGTTAAGGTCCCTCCACGTATCTCTCACAGAGCACCACTATAAAAAAAGCAATTGCTAGCAAGGGAATAAGATGGGATTTTATGTCCCTACAATGAACGCTTAAAGATGCTCCAGAGGACTGACAAGAACAGGAACTGTCAGAAGTTGAGGAAGGGAAAACTTTTCCCCCTCAGGAGCAGAGTGGGAACTCCCATTCCCTGTATCAGACCACATTCTACTCCCACCAGTCACCCACTGTACACACAGACATCACTGCCACAAAGAAAAGGACTTTATTTGTACTTAACAGCTTCTGCCATGTTCTCCTCAGCTTTCTCAGGAGCACATGGACATCCAGCAAGGCTGAGGGGCAGCAGAGGAGCACAGAGTCCTCCTCAAACACTGACAGGGAATCTCAGTCTCATACAAGGAACACAAATCCCAGAATTCCAGAGTGGTTTGGGTTGGAAGGGATCTTTAAGATAATATCATTCCATCCCCTTCCACTAGCCCAGGTTGCTCCAAGCCCTGTCCAACCTGGTCTTGGACACTTCCAGGGATGGGGCAGTCACAGCTTCTCTGGGCAACCTGTGCCAGGGCCTCACCACCCTCACAGACAATTCCTTCCCAATATCCCATCTCTCCCTGCCCTCTGGCAGTGGGAAGCCATTCCCTGTGTCCTGTCCCTCCATCCCTTGTCCCAGTCTCTCTCCAGCTCTCCTGGAGCCCCTTTAGGCCCTGCAAGGGGCTCTCAGCTCTCCCTGGAGCCTTCTCTTCTCCATGTGAACACCCCCAGCTTTCCCAGCCTTTCCTCCCAACTGTTCCATCCCTCTGATCATCTTCATGGCCCTCTATCATGGAGTTAATTTTCCTTCAAAAGGAGCAAAACTGACAACAAAGCCCAACATTTTTTGGTTGAGACAACTCTTCCCTGAGGACCTAGAAAATCAGCTTCCATTTGAAATGAGTCTGCCTGCAGCATCCTGGAAGGTCCCTGAGGTACCTGTGCACTCCCTGGCTTCCAGAGAAGTTATTCTGACATAAGTGATGAGAAAAATAAAATATTTTTGTTTTATCTGACTGTTTGTCAGAGCAAAACAAAAACACTTATAAAAGCCGTGCACTGGCTGATCAAGTCAGGTGCCTCTGGATCAAGCAACACTTATTCTCTGCAGTATTCCCCTTAATCCTGACTAAAAGGACTGGAAAAGCAAGGAGGGATTGATAAACACTGAATATACTCAAAAAAAGAAGGAGGAATTACTGAGGACATGTTCCTTAGGGAAGGTACATCCACTGATTTCAGGTTCAGACTGAAATATCTGAGCACAATTATATAAAGTGGCATGGAACAAACACACCAAAGTACACTGGGCTGAATATTGTTTTTCTGGTAACTGTTTAAGGGTCAAAATACCCTTTAAAAACCCCACAAGGTGTTCCAGAGCTGTGCTGCAAGAACTGAGCAGAAGGTATCACAGACACCAGATTTTTTACCTATTTTATCTCTGAAACAGTGGAGTGTCTGGAGTCATTAAAGAGGCAGATTAGGATTAGCAGGACTAATTTCTACAGTGTCATTCACATGGGATTATTCCTCTGGGAGCTGTTCCAAGTAATGGAAATTAAATAACAGGTACAAGCGTGGCATTTAAACTTGGCCTTAAGGCCTTTCTGGGGGACACATTTTTTTTTTTAGATGGGAATTCCTAAATTGCTGCTCCTCCTGCTCCTCTCCTCTACTTCTCCCTACTTTTCTACCCCCCCAACACGTGTATGTTTGATGAAAAGCCACAAAAGCTTCTCCAGAAATGAAATCAAGCTCAAAATTCCTTCTCAGTGAGATGTTAATAATCCTGTTCAGAAAAAGATGAGGATGAAAACCTTTCATGGAGATAAACAGTATTAAAACTACAAACAAACTGATTTTTTTTTTTTTTTGGCAGGGTTAATTTTGAAGTGCAGGAATTCTGGTGTGAAGTCTGAATGTCACTAATAGCTGCATTTGGGGTAATCCAGAACCCCAGAGTACAAAAGCAATGGTCAAAGAGTTGCATCTGACATTACAAAAAGCTGAGGAAAACAAAATTAGGAGTAAAAACTGAAAAAAACCTTCTTTTTAGCCTGTACTAATGGGACAAACCAGCAGTTTGGCCATAATAATTATACATATTTTTACAGAATACATGTATTTTGATGGTAAAAACACATCCAGAAAGCTCCAGTTGTGCCACAGTGAGCACAAGAGCAAAGCAAGAGATGGTTCATTAAAAAAACCCTGAGAACAGAAAAATCCCAGCATATATCATCAAAAACACATGGATTCCTATTCCTGAAAGACTTGACAGCAATATCCCATTTCTCTACTCACATTCAAAAGTACATTTTCAGAAAACAGAATTCCAGAATTACCTGAGATTTCAGAACAAGAAGTTTCTCATTTAAAATGTCTGTGCTTAGGCTGGGGTTTTATTCTTTCTTATCTTTTCCCTCCTGAAGATAACCCTGACCATGAGAAACACAAAACATCTGCTCCAAAGGCATTTTTAATCCCACATCTGGATGATGCTCCAGAGGAAGGGAACCAGATGTACTAACTTAAAAGTTTCTGATGCTCTTATTCAGTGAAAAAGGAGGTTTATATTCCCAACTGATTGATATTCCCAAAGCATAATTCTTTAGGAAGAACCACAAATATTTAAATACTTGAAGAGAAATCCCAAATAGAAAAAAAAATTACAGAGTTGACATTTTTATCTTTAGCTATTTAACTATACTTTTCCTCTAGGATATTGTATTTGAGGGGAGGGTGAATTGAAGGAGGAATGATGGGTGGTGCAGGCAGGGAATCTGACTCTGAAACAGCATCAAAGACTGTCCTAAGATCTCCTGGGATCCTGCTTGGTGGAGACAGAAAAAAATATATTAATAATGACCCAAATAAACACCAACTCCCCTTTCTCCACTTGATTGTTGCTTCCTTTTATACACAGGAACTAAAATGTTTGTCTGTTTACATGTAAACAAACCATATATACATTTTAATCTCAAAAACTGATGGGAATTTAAGTGTTTGGATTTTATCCAGCCATATAAAATGCTTTGTTTAAACTGAGATAAACCCTGAATGAGCCTGGCACAGCCTCTGCCCTGTGACAGGGAAGGGAAACACCACCTGGAGATGGCTGTGCACACACCTGAATCAACGCTGATAATTCTCCCAAAATTCTCCTAATTCTCCCAAATGAGATGAGATGAGAACTGCCCTGGGCTCTGAATTCAGCATCCAGGGGCTTCCTCTCCCCACTTATTACATCCCACCCTTCCCAGGAACGGCTCACTCAGGTAGATGGAATTATTCAGACCTTGAATCTGAATCCCAGAATGGTTTGGGCTGGAAGGGACCTTAAAGCCCATCTCATTCCACCCCCTGCCATGGGCAGGGACACCTTCCACTAGCCCAGGTTGCTCCAAGCTGTCA